TACATATATATATATTCAGGCGTTGACCAAACTCGTGCAAATTGACCCTCATTTTGGAAATTCATTTCAGCTTGCAATAGCATATCTATATATAGATGTCTATGAGTAAATTATGTTTATTCTGGACTTTATCTCCAACGTCTATGTTCTTGGTTCTTTTCTGTCACCCTTCGAGTGTCGCGATGAAACTTGTAGTAGTTCTAAAGTTAGAGCGCTGATTTAGAAAATAATTTTGGCAAAGCAGCATGGCAGTTAATTCTTCTCCCGCGATGATTCCTGTTCCATGAGTGTTTATGAAGTTGAGCACACGTATTCTAAATTTCTAATCTCTTTTCATTTACTGCACAGTAAATAAGCCAATTAAGGAAAATATTGTAGCTTGAATGATTTGATAAACCATTTGGCTACAAAATACTCACGTATTATCTACTGGAAAAACTGAAAAAATAGTCCAAGGAACACAAGTTGGTCTTCGAAAAATGACCTTGAGATATGCGGCTCGTTGAATAGGCGTCCTCTAGTGTCACCATGCCCAAACCGGGTGAAACTTTCAAAATCTTTTAGCGTATAATTGAAGCCGAGAGGCAACTTGAATGAGAGGCGCGTAAATCCGATGGTTCAGCTGATATCTTGTGGAAGCGCTTGGATGTGAACATAGGTTCAATTTGTTGCATAATCAACGGAATTTCTCCATCAAGACATAAACCGAGAGGGAGAAAACCGGCCATATCAAAGTAAGATGATGGTTGTATTTAATCGTAGCAGAGAAGAGTTTCACACAACCAATCTGGAGAATTTTCCGGGATAATTAGCCATTCTACCCCCAAGCTGTCGTTTCAAAAAGGCCTGCTGAGTTCAAAATGCGGCTTAGGACACGTGATATAAAGCCGTTATCGAATGTCCAACAAAGCATAGCGCGTATTGATTTCACCAACAAATTCAAATCGCGTCACCCGTCTATTTGGCAATGGGTTTATCTCTCTGGTGCCTAACGAGGAATTCAGCGTATTGTAAAAGCTGATCTACTGAGCCAGTTTTCTAGTGAATTTCTTTTCAACTCTCAAACGAAGAAAATATCTATCCCTCCTAACGAGTTGGAAGGGAGGCGATTATTGATCGCATTTTTGTTGGTCTTCTGCATACGCCAATATGGACATAGCAAAATTTCTTGCACTCATAAGGGAGGTTTTTGATAGCAGTCACTCCGAAGATGCATTTGGGGAAGTCATATTTTTTACAAATGAAGGTTGGTATAGTAGCTCGCTTTAGGTTAGTGGTAAAAAACGGTTGAACCTAAATAAATATTATTTTTCACATTTATGCAGTTTCTAGAGGAGTCAAGTTCATTGTCAAATTCGTTCAATTACCGCGCAGCATCTGGAATTTAAATTTAATCGAAAACTTCCCCCTCTATCAGAAACAGGGATTAGTTAGGTACCTGCCATTGGTCGCCAGTGGTAAGGGTTTGCGGTGTATTAGAGGAAACTTGTAAATTCTGTTTGGCAGTCAACCAGGTGGAATCCATGCCCAAGCGACTGCCTCTAGTGCTCAAAAATAAAGAAGGGCAAATGAAATGTGGACGAGATCAAAGTACAATACTTGTCTAAAGTCTGAATCATTTTAGTAAATAAATCACATACGTTTTCTACTGTGACTTTGTTATCTCACAACTGATGCACCAGCAACCATCGTCAAAATCGCGGAATTGAACATCATAATGGCATGTGGCTGATGGAAGCGATGATATAAGCAGGTATTATGTCACATATGTTGTGCCTAATATGGGGCAATATCATATACAATCTCGTGAATGAGTTTGAAAAAACGAAGCTCTGAGAGGAACAAATGTGAAAATCAGGACGTTGCACGAGTTTGATCAATACCTGTATATGACTATAATTGACTATATTATATGACTACTTTGCCCACTGCGGCAACATATTTTTTCATTGCTCATTCAACTCAGTTTGTTTTTGGGGGAATCGTTGGTCATTTTGATCAACTAGACTTCCTAATCATGCATTATCCTTTCTGCATTCAGCACGTCGTGCACTCGGCGAGCACTGTGTATGGCAATAGCTGTCGTTGCATCTCATCAGCATTAAATATACACAGGCACATCCATCCATTAGTATTTAGTTAGGCTCTTTTCCATTGGCTGAGTTCTCATTACCTCGATCTCTAAATCTTTTTGTTGGATCTTGTCGTTCCCACAGAACGTGCGGATTGTGATAAGTTGCGATGCTCAGTCTGCGACGGCTCGGCTTCTTTCCAGCAAACCGGACTGTTTGGCGTTCACTGTGAGTCGTTTGTCTCTAGCAGAACGTTCCGCCGCAGTTCGCGCTATCTTGGGACGCTACGGCAAAGTCCTAGACGAATCTGGTTTCCGTAATCAGGTACAAGTTTTCTCTTATGTGGCATACTATCATATTTGATAACATTTGTTACTCTTTTTCTGTTTACCTTAGTTTCGCATGATTTACTTGGTTTTGTGTAACTTCACTATCCCCAGTTATCACTTCTCGTCAACAAACGGGGCGCTGATATTCCGTTCTACTTAAAACTGGCTTGTGAAGAACTACGTCTCTACGGCACGTACGAAGAGGTGAGTTTCTCTAGTTCTCGTTTTACTGAGTTCCCTATCTGTTCGATGTTTCTTTCCTATCAAATGCTTTTACCTTTGGATGTTTTGGATCTGGTTTCTCTATCCTAGTTTGCTCTGCAATCAATACTGGGCTCATACTAAGTTCACTGTTTCGCGCAGAATAAGTTCAGTTCAGTTTAAACTGCTGTGCGAACGTCAAACGACGAGACCTTTTTACTCATTTTTTTGTGTATGGTTTATTCCCAATGCACTGATGAGATTTCACAATTAGGTAAACCGTGTACCACGATGAGCGTGCCCATTTATTTACTGTAACTTGTAAGTTTTTAAAACAACCCAAAAGCATCCAATGGATTTCTCGACTCAGTATTTAATTAGCTCTGTTTAACTCACTAAAGATCAGTAGAATTATTCATAGTGGATATACTTGCACATCCAACGAAAACCATTTGTGCAATCTGTTTTTCATTTCCACGGTTTGTTTTTCCAACTATTTACGTTATTTACTCCTTCTTTAACTTACATTTTGTTTCCGCTGAAGACTCATAATCGGTAACCATGGTTACTTTTCAGTTGGATACGCAACTCAAACAATTGCCGGACACCGTTCCTTCTCTGGTTCGTCATATTGTCGCCAGAGCGGAGGCCCAGTCTGGTTCAGAACTGGTCCTCATAACCCTGGCTCTATTGGCCTGCTCACGTAAACCTCTCACCAGTGTCGAGTTACACTCGTTATTGGATTCTTGGTTAGCAGATCGTCAAGGTAATCAAAAGGGCCATGGTCATGGTCCCAGCTGGAAAGATTTGCTTACGTCATTCTCTTCTGAGTCCGAGGACCTTGATTCATTGAACTCATTGCAACAGAAAATCAATCACCTTATACTGGAGGACTCCGCTTCTTATCTCAAAGATTCTTCAAAACTGATTCGCGTACCCTCATTAGCATTTCATATTCTTCTTTCTGGAATTCGACCTCTCCTTGCCGGACTTGGAGATCAAGAGGAAAATTTGGGCTCGGAGGATCTGGTTTCGCCTAATCGTGAACTGGGTTTGATTCGACTGCGAAATCCCGAAGTACTTGATTTGATTCAGGATATCTGTTTCAATCTAAATAAAAAGTCCCTGTCCTCTTTTAGCCAACTTGGCTACCACAAACCAACAATTACAACTCTTTCCACCTCGTTGGGTGCGGCTAAACGATTGCGACCGACTTCGGAAGTCGAAGAACCGAATGAGGCAGCTCGTAAATTCTGTGGTACCGTGGATCGCCGATATATTCACTGGCTTTTAGCCACTCGGCTGCCTGGATTGGAGCACAAGATCTATCATTTCGTGAGTCGTATTTCCCCTTTTTTATGCTCAGTTTATGTTGTTGATCAATAAGAACCAGTTTGTAGGAGTGAGCGCCGATAGATTCGCCTGTCGAAGACTTGTGCATTAAGTTTGTCTTTGTGATATGCAAGCTTTTCAGGAAGCGGTATTCATGAGAGAGAAAAAGCGTACGGTGGAACACAAAAATTTTTTTTATCCCAGTTATCTTCCATTTTCCCGTGTTTAACTGTTCCACCCTCTTTTCACACTGTTCTGTACCCCAATCCACCTATCTCCTATTATTGTTGTAGCGTTGGGACTATGCTATTCTATAAGCCGGTGGTAAATAATAATGGTAATACATCCATGAGATAGATTTAAATAACATTGAGAATCGCATTTTTGGGGGTTGTTTTCGTCGACAATTAGTAACCTTATCTCAAACCAATAATCTCTCGTAGTTGGGAACAATGATTGGTTTGATTGGTTTGAAATGCTAATACTTAGAACGGGAAACAAACAAGTTTACCTTAACACCTGGACCTTAGGTGCACCCCTTTTGCCGAATCATCGCACTTTTCCCGTATGCCATAATTTTCTCCTTGTATTTTCACGCTTCTTCGGTACAAAAATGAAGCTAACCTCCTCGCATGTGGTGG